CACATGCCGTCGTATCCCAATTGCGTAGATCGATGCTCATGCTGTTGACCACTGGACTGCCTGGTCCAGACTCGATTATTTACAGACTGCTGCCATATAGCTGGAATTTTGGTGAGTGCGGCGTAAAACTAAACTCACCCATAGATATGATTATTTATAGTATATATCGTCATAAAGATTTAATATTGCTGCACGTGACATATACAACTGTCACTATCATGTTTAATATGACTGACCTTCTGTTGCAGGTCATACAATGCATTCAGAACGGGCACCTGCTTGACTGCCCCCAGATAAGTCCAGATGACGTGTACAAGATGATGTTGGGGTGTTGGAAGCGGCAGCCGACGGAGAGGCTGACGATGAAGGAAATCCACAAACGCCTGGACAGTCTGTGTCTCAAGGAACCGACCTATCTCGACTTGATAGCATGAGAAACATGAAGGGAGGGCAGGATTGGTAAAACTGGCAGTCACATGCTGGACGATGGTCCAAGGTGCACATAGTCTAATGGAGAACAGCCTTACCTGATTCCAATGAACGTGCATTGAAAAATGAACCACATGAATTTCAAAGACAGTTCAAATGGATCTTTCAAGGATCTGATTCAGATGAATTACAGCCATGCATGTTTCAAATGAATCCAGCACCAGACGAAGAGTGTACAGATTGGTTCCATTTGTGCGTTCAAAGACGTCACACTCGTGTTTTGGATCATCCTCGGCACCCAGGGTATGTTTATTCGAGGCGGGGGAACACATGCCTGGGCTTTCAGAATGCTGATGTAAATGTGGTCACATTGTCATGATGATATGCAGGAAGTGTCAGCTGAGCAGTGTCGGTTTAGCAGTGTCATCTGAACAGTGTCGGCGCAGACGTGTCGGCTTGGTAGTGTAGGTTCAACTGTGCCGGCCCGGCAATGTCAAGCAGTGGCAGCTGAACAGAGTCGGCTCGGCCATATCAGCTCAGCAGTATCAGTTGAGTAGTGTCGGCTCGGCAATTTCGGACCGGCAGTACTAGCTCAGCAGTGTCATCAATAACTGTTCTCGAACCAAAAGAATTGTGTGATTGGCTAGATAGTATCTCAAGCAATCTGCAACACATTAGCTGTATGTTGTTATAACATACAATTTGTTGTGTTGTTCAGAGATGGGCCAAAGGAACTTGTAACTGTACATAAATATTAATGATGTTCATAATCAGGGTTGGTACTGAGGCGTTTGCTCAAAAACACATGCTCAGAGTATGGTAAGTGTATAATATGGACAGAACATACGACGAAACGATTGTCTTTCAAGTTGATGGGGCTTACATGGTTTGCAGTGTTCCACTTAATTCAGTTTCTGTACCAGGTATATCTAATACCAGTTAAAGTTGTTTTTATTTATTTATATCTTTGTTTATCAGCTGAAAATTTTGTACACTCAGGAATTTATACTGCTAAATTTCTTTAGTGGTAGGCCCAAACGGAAAACAGTGGCCTTTGAACTGCTATTATGACACCTTTTTGCAGATATCCATCTTCCTTAACGCCAACTTCGCACACGATTTTGAAAATAACAATCAGTGACGAGGACTCTCTATTCTTCCGAATCCAATAAGTTATAATCCGGTGGGTGGAGACAACCAAAACCAAATGAGGCAAGGGTATTTATCATACTGGTGTGGGGATGATAAACCCTGGATGGCCGAGGATGTGCCCATCCTCCAGCTCTGACAATATTTATTACCAATGGCCTTAAAAGCAATAGTTCTTCATCGGCCTGATTATGAGTACGTTGGCTGGACATGTAATGTAGAACGCATTGGAAGAGGCTATATCGCAAACCATTTTCACCCCCACCGGGGGCGGTGGGGTGGCCTAGTGGTTAAAGCGTTCGCTCGTCACGCCGAAGACCCGCGTTCGATTCTCCACATGGGTACAATGTGTGAAGCCCATTTCTGGTGTCCCTCGCCGTGATGTTGCTGGAATATTGCTAAAAGCGGCGTAAAACTATATTCACTCACTCACCTCCACCATCATAGAATAAGTCCCTAAAGATATATTTGTTTGAAACAAATAATTCCATTAAATTGAAAAAGAGCCCCAGTGAGAAGGGAGACCTGGGGACATCTAGACTTATTTCATTTAGAGCATTGCATTGCATTGCAGAAAGGGCTGGGCGGTGGGGGAAATATAGCGGTTCTGGGACTGTGTGACAGTCGGCCTTAAAATCTGTTTTCCGGGTACAGGATGTGCAGACTCCGGATTTTGACGTGGGTCGACTTATGAGGTGGCTTGTTAGATAGGGTCATTTCATGTATACAAAACACCTGTTAATCTGGCGATTGTTGTTAGCGAAAGTATCTATGTAATTATGGCAGAAATTAATTAATTCCTGAAAAAATGTCTCTACAGTCGATTTTAATTGGAACAGTGTCGGAGTAACTAGGATTCGTTGTGCTAATGTCCAGATAATCTGGAGTTGATGGATGTATATAGCTCTGCGACGGTGTTCATGAAGAAGGTATTTTGTCCACCCAAAGCAATTGTGATGCCAAGATATTGTAAATTGGTAATATATGCATTTAGCCAATTTGTGATAAAGACTTTTGTTTGCAATTAAATCTTTTAATATTTGCTGAATATAAATATGCATGAATTGTACTAAAAATGTTAACCTTCAGTGAAAATTCGTTATTGCACAAAGATGACTTATTATGAAATAACTTTACGACACCATGGCTTGGATGACAGGCAAATTGTAGCGCAAATAGGGTTGCGCAACAAGGAGAAAATGACCAGTCTTCCCATATGCGAGCGAAACGAGCAAAGGTTTGCTCGCTTCGCTCGCATATGAATAGACTGGTCATTTTCTTTTTGTTGCGCAACCCTTTTTGCGCTACAATTTGCCTGTGCTTGGATTATGTTAACGTTTTGACAATGAAAGTAAAGTATGAAGAAGAACTAGCGCTATTCAATAAATCTATTTTAGCACTAAGACAGTCATAGTGCAAAGAATACTTTGTGGCGCCACACCAAACAGCGGATTATGAACAATAAGAGATTTATTTTTCAGTTTCAACCTTCCTGGATTGTATATATATACTTTATATAGATTGAAAGGGGGAAGTACGTGTATCTTACTGTATCACACACAGACTGACGAGGCCTTACTGCACGGAATTTCCACAGTAACAATTTCCACACGGATATAGTCATTTATCTGTACATAGTGAATTATAGCGCATATGTAGTTTCTCCAAGACGTTACTAGGTGTTTTACAGTGAAAGGTCGTTGGACCAAAATAATAGTAAGCTGATATTGTTCGAACTGGAGAACGAATCGCTGTACAAATAAATGTGTGGGTTAGTCCATAGTATTATATCATGTAAAATAACATGTAAATAATGACTGAATTACCTTAAATAAACAAGCAAACATACAAAATGCAACAAAAATGTAAATATTGATTATTATTTTTTTCAGAAACTTAAAAAATATGTTTCTATGTGTTTGGGATAATTTGCTATTGGAACACACAACGGAAGAACAGATCTCGGATTAACTTGTGATTATTGGATACTGGGAATATTTTTATATTTTTTTTAAAAACTGTTTTCAAATGGGGAGTTTTGTGCATTTTGTACTCCCCAGGAAGTAACAAGACAGATACGTATTTGATATTTTGTAATTTCTATGACTTAATAAAACAGATATTGCTTCGAGAACATTCTGCAAAAACGTATACTTATTTCATTCCGTTTCTGTTGTGGATTTTTGTGGCTCATAGTTAGTAACGTCGTGTCATGATGGAGTTTGAGTTTACCATGATGGAGCATGATGGAGTTTGAGTTTACCATGATGGAGTTTGAGTTTACCATGATGGAGTTTGAGTTTACCATGATGGAGTTTGAGTTTGAGTTTACCATGATGGAGTTTAAGTTTACCATGATGGAGTTTGAGTTTACCATGATGGAGTTTGAGTTTACCATGATGGAATTTGAGTTTACCATGATGGAGTTTGAGTTTACCATGATGGAGTTTGAGTTTGAGTTTACCATGATGGAGTTTGAGTTTACCATGATGGAGTTTGAGTTTACCATGATGAAATTTGAGTTTACCATGATGGAGTTTGAGTTTGAGTTTACCATGATGGAGTTTGAGTTTACCATGATGGAGTTTGAGTTTACCATGATGGAGTCAGAGCCATGGGGAGATCATTGGTCTCTCTACCAAATCTTATTTACGCCCAAAATACTAGACATACCACAGCTTGAAACAGAATGTCAGGTTCATGTATTAAGGAAGTTGAGGTGATGAAATGCCGGTTCTGACTTACATATTTTGGTTTATACAGTGCTGGTGTATCATAAATCTTATTTTGGTTTAAAGGCAGACTTTACTGACGCTGGTCGTCGGTATTTGTCACCATTCGTTGTGAATTCCTCGGGTGCTGGAAATGGAACGGTCAATTATTATGAGGGGGGGCGGAGGGAACGGCAGGGTTAGGGGTGAGTGGAGGTGTGTGGGGTGGGGTGGGGGGTGGGGTTTTTTTGTCAGATGGGTAGGTTATGAACATGGGTAGCTTCAACAGTCAGTAAAGGAGGGATTTTGTACTGTAAATGAGTACATGCGGTCACCACAACCCCGCCAGTGTAATAATGAGTGGTCCCATAAGAGCCGATTTCGGACTGCCAACGAATTGACGCAATTCTTCACTCTGAGTTGAGGTGTCGTTGATCGATAGGTCATCCATGTCGCCTACATCTCATGTATCATGGGCACAGAAATAGATTGTTATTTATTAACCCAATAACTCACGGAGCCCTGTTTCCGCTTAACCAAAGATCCTATTCAACACTTATGACAATGGTTCCAATAATAAAATGCCAAATTGGCCCACTGATCCAAAAACCATATATCATTTTATGGTATCTGACAGATGAAGGTCCCAATTTTTAATGCTTCTGGATTTATATGTACACTACACTTTTCTAAATAACACTCAGTTACATCGGTATAATTATTGCCGTTAATAACATACACTTTTGTGCAAACCCTACCATTCCCTGAAATTGAAGGGGTTGGGGTAGCCTAGTGGTTAGAGCGTTCGCTAGTCACGCTAAAGACCCGTGTTCGATTCACCACAGGGGTAAAATGTGTGAATACCATTTCTGGTGTCCCCCACTGTGCTATTGCTGGAATATTGCTATCGGTAGCATAAAACTAAACTCACTCACTCAAATGGGCTTCACATATTGTGCCCATGTGGGGAATCGAACCCGGACCTTCGGCATGATGAGCGAACGCTTTAACCACTAAGCTACCCCCACCGCCCCCGCTATGTTCAGAAGCGATATCATTAAGTCTAATGGCAGGTAGTACTATTCTCAACGGCAATTACAAATACTGACCGCGCTTCACGCCTTTTGCAACAATCATCCTTGATGAACCTTTTTGTATGCAATCGATCCCATAAATGATATAATATATCGCGATTAAGCATTTTCATAATCTATATTCCCGTATACCATTAACTGGACTGTTACCTTTAAAAGCAACATCCCAGAGGACTTCAGAGCGTAATTAGAACAATACAATCTCTCCGTTCGTATGGCTGGGATGTCGCCGACGATAAAATAAAAGTATGCTTTTTGTAATCTGCAATGACGTCCAATTGTTTTGTTTTTTTCCAATGTGGATGTTTTTGTTTACTTTTTACATAGGCTGTATTGTTTTTGGAAAATATTCCCAGCACCTAGTAGAATGAGTACCGGTTAATGCTTTCCTTAAAGAGTGCTTACTGCGACAGCGTGACGACGTCTTGACGACGTCGTGGCAACGGTGGGTACTGATGGGCCTTTCTGGCAGCTACTGCTGTGTTACATTAGTTC